TCTGAAGAGACGATCCGCACTGACTGCAAACACAAAAAGCTGTCACCATAGCAGCCATTTCATGCATTTAATCTGTTGTTTCGCTGCTAAATTTCCCTATCCACTGAGTTAATAGAGAAAAGCCGCCCTCTGGTTCTCCATTCGTTGGAGGCAGGGATTTCTGGAGTTAGTTTAGTTGTTGTCTGGCCTTGCTTTGCTTGTTTACCTGAGCACAAAGGAGAGGCTGATAATGTGGCAGCAGAGTCATGGCCGCTGGCCCTTTTTGATGAGGAGAAAGGTCTGTTTGACTAATTACCCTGGTGGTCAGACACACTTGTTTTTCCAATGCCACATTTTAACATCTTCTCTCTCTCTGGCACTCTGATTATTTTTCGTCCTCGGCTCCTGGGCACATGCGCTGAGCCATGACATCTGTTGCTGATATTTGCATTTGAATTAGCGCTCAGAATCACTATTTATTGATTACCTGCAATTACCTTTCTTTTCTTCCTAGGTTCACCATTTGTTAAAGGGTATTTTTACTGCTTTCATGGACTCATTTCTCACCTTCACTGTTTTCCCTTTCTCAATTTTCTCCTTTTCGGACTCCAGAGTTTGGGCTTGGCGGCAGTTCACCTTTACCAAAGGTGACTAATGCACAAATCATTCTTTGACATGAAATCTATAATCTGCAAAGTGGATCAAATAACTCCTAAATGCACCAATAGGCCAGGAGTTATTGATGGCTATTGCATTGGACTGTAGGGGAGGGAGAGAAAAAACAACCACACCTATGTGGTAATGGTCCGATCACTCCATAGAGTCCAAACGTGTATTTAACAATTAATAATCAACATGTCCATTATCAAATCCTTACTTTCATATGAGCATATCACTCAATGATTTAAGGTTGGGCCCTAATGGAATAATATTTATGAAGTTTTAGCTTAAATCCCTTTCCATTTAGTGTGAGGCTTGTTCACACATTGTTATGCATTTTAACCTATTTGATATCTCAGCAAATATAAATTAAATCCAAATTAATTTGAAGAAAAGCATGGTATGACTGCACTGGGGAGTGTTGTTTGTTTATTAAGACACATTTAAGATGCAAAAATTGGTGAATGTTCTCTTAAGACACTTGTACATATTGTTGATGTCACCTGCTGATTTGTGGGCTTGAATGTGTCGTTTACATACAACTCTAGAATCTCATTGAGGAATCGGCCCCTGCTGGCCATTCGACATTATCCAGGTTTACTGTAAGCTTCACTTTTTAGACCAAGCGGTGAAAGCTTGTGTGGGTATTGTTCATTTTTCAGAGGACAATTATCGTTATAAAAAACCTTAAAACTAAATGCACATGGCACATGGCAACTTACAAAGGCCTCATCAAATGACATTGGAGCTGCTTTTCACCAAAGACGACTGCATTATCATGTCCCAAATTGAAACAACTGTTGCTGGTCTCTAGGCACAAAAACCCATCCATGGCCATTTTCAGGAGTTGGGTTCCATTTTGTCTCCTGATGAAGAGCTTTGTATGGACCACCTGCGCTCAAGGTTTGGACAAGCAGAACTCTGATTGCAAGGTGGATGGAGCACATGCAGCCAGGGAAGAGGCACCATGCTGGGGCTAAGTGGCACTTAAACACGCAAACGCATCTCTGGCTGTCTGGCTGTCCACCTAGACGTGGGCACCGCCATGATGCCAAAGATTGGTTTGCTGAAAGACCCAGAGACGCAAACAAGCAAAAGGCTGAAGCACAGGGAGGCTAACAGGGAAGATGTTTTTAATGATGCTAAATGATGGCAGGTTTTTCTCTCCCTCTCTTGTTAAGGTTTTTTTTGTTTATTCCCGACCAAAGCATTGCAGTGACTGCTTGTTTTTCGGGGGTTGTACGTGTGTTCATGTGTTGGGACAGATGGTGTCTGTGGGGGTGGTGAAAGATAAAGTTAGTATCCACCCAGTAAAGTAGTATTAGCTGAGAGAGCTGCAGGTGGCTCATCATGTTTGTTCGCTAAACTGCTGACTGATATCCCTCAATTAAAGACACCATTTTATATGTACTGGTGAGAGGAAAATACTTCTGTCTTCTCTTTCCCTGCCTTAACCATTTGCCATAAAAATATGAAGAAACCTTTGCACACAAAAAATATCCTGGCAGAGCGTCTTAGGCTTGATTACATTTGAATCTCATAATTGTCACCAAAAAAGTGATTTGTAGCACCAGTTGTTAATTGTTTTGCAGTGTTTTAAAAATGTATCTGTTGGTATTAGAAAAAGGGCTCATTCTATATGGATGGAGTGTAGACCAAGGGAACCAGACTGAAGGCCTCAATGCGGATACTCGCTGTTACTGTAGACAAGTCGGGGGTCATTGACCTGATCGATTAAGACTGATAGATACGAATCTAAGCTCAGAGCTCAAACTGTGGCGAGGCCAACACAGGACAGGACAGGGTGCGTGGGAGGCATACTGTATGAGGAATATTGAAGTTTCAGTAAATTCAAATAAAGGGCAAAATTCCTTGAAAAGAAAAGAAATAACAATGCATGTCATGTAGTTCAAAGAAAAAGAAGTGGGAGTAAATGTAATATAAAGTCCTATTACTTTGAGGGTGATCTCCTCACTTGCATCCTTCGCTCTAGCATCAGAACTGTTACATATTTAAAGGGAGAAGTCAAAAGTCAGCTCAGCTTTGCACAGCGGTTTCTGGAGAATCCTCAAAGTTCAAATCTGTTTTGTGCAAACAGTGAACTTGAGTCATTCCCAAGACGTTTGGGCAGTGGTGTAACTGTGATACTTACAAGCTTGCTAGCATCAAGACCAAGATCGAAGTCATACTGTTGTAATAAGTAAGTAAGTATCTCCTAATCTATATATCAACTTTCAACATTTTCTGAGATTACTATTTTACTTAAATCTAAAAGCTAGAACGGTTTACGACGTGTGATGGCCCCCAAAGTCTCAGGGGCCCCTCTGGTCTTGAAGTGGAATATGTCACTGTAAGAGATGCAAAATAAGGGACACAGGTCAGAACTGCTAGGGCTGTCTTAGGGAAGATAGCATTAAGATGAGCAGCTCCACTGTCTTGGAATAGTCTGCAATTGAAATGGAAACTGAGCAATCTGA